GTATAGTACAATGGTAATGCAATATTCTTTGTAATTCCAAAGGTACACACTTTCACACGAACATGTGTAGCATTGAAGGAGCTGTCTATGGCTTGCGCTGCTAGCCAGTTATGGTTCACTAAAGGTTTTGATCAGTGTTAGGTTAGAGTTCAAGGGGAGCTTTTTTCCTTTACTGACTACATCCCATCTCAGTTTTTATAAGCTTGTTTGGTCTCATGGATATGGCGCTATTTGTTGTATATTTCCATGCTCAATGTTGCTTGTTCAATCCCATGATAATGCGTTATATCTGTTCCTCACTGCATCACTGATGCACCAATGATCAAACTTACAGTAAGGTAGTACGGGGAAAATAGCAGGTGTCTTTCGGAGGGCTGGAAACAGTGTTAGCATTAAGGTTCTTGCACTACCCAATTTAAGCCACACAAAATGTCAGGGTTGGCTGAGGACTATACAATCCAGGGAACAATTTCTATGTCTTACAGAAGAATTGAATGAAACCTCAGAATGGTGGCCATGAAACATGTATTTGAATACCAAGGGAACTAGCTCCTCATGACATGTTTGTCCATCCCGATCCACAAGAGTTCAAAGGATCTTCCATTGCGGCTAATTGCATACTTACCGGTAGTCAATGATATGTGGAATGCCAATCATGCTCAGTGTGATTACAGTGATTACAACTTGTCCCCAAGTATATATATGCCTTACCAGCACCTCCAGTTTTATGTAAATTGGAAAGCTTGAAGGTTGAAGTAAAGTTCTTCACAGCATCACAACCGTTCGTGTGAGTATCCAGATCCTATAAGTCAGTTTGAAACATTGGAGACTGATGATGTGAGTCAGAAAGGTGTTTTCTCATTGTAGACCCGTTCACTACTAGAGCTACTTTTGATATTTCCTTTTAAAAGATGAAGGTTATTTTGTGTCACAACAAAGTACGCCGACGTTAACTCGGCAAGTAGAGTGTGAGACTGTAACAAGGCTTATGAGACATCACTTATATCTCAACGTTGCCTTGTTTGATTCAAGTAAGTCAGATTTCCATCTCTTTTTTTTCTTTGCAGATTTTTTGGGACCTATTGGATGGATATGCTTATGGATGGTCAGATATGAAGAATCTGAAGAGATCACATTTTCAACTTCCTGCCCATCACCCAACAGCTGGCAAGGACTACTACATGAAGTAAAATAACCAATAAATAAAACACCAAAGACTAATAAACCCCCTGTTTCTACATATATATATATATTTATATATATTGTGTGAGAGCTTGAATGTACGAATTTCCTATGCGCCTGTACATGATGCCATTGTGGATTTCTGTCTTCTATTTCTGTAGATATATAGTCCATAATCAAAGTGTATTCATCGTTAGATCGTCGATCAAGGGTGACGTCATTGTCCCTCCTAAGCGTTGTTCTGCGAAGCTCCGCATAAGCGCCAGTCGCCATCCACAAGTTTCGCTCCTTTGCGTTGGAATTGACCTAGCTACAAGAAATCACACCAGGCTCTTCTCGAGCCGAAGTTAACTCTGAAGAACAGACCTTGTTTCTTCCAAACATACATGACCACAACACGTCCTGCAAGTCGTACCAATAAGTACACTCAACATCGATGAAGTCGCGCTATTCGGTAGCTCCTACATAAAGATCACATCCGTATGAACGAACCATACAATCTTACCGGACGATTATCTGTTTTCTTTACTTTCTCCAGCCTTCTTTGCGATTTCCCTTGCCGTCTCATAAGAATTTCAAACAGCCACGCAATCGTCTTTTCCCTAGGGGTGTTTTGTCAGGTTCGTTTCTGACTCGGACACCCGGGTATCTTCGTCGTCACTCGTGCGCAAAGAACTCGGTTTGAAGACAGCGATTTTTCTTATTCTGACGACGTTGACCTCGGAACTAGACGAGTCGTTTGTAAGTTCCAGATGCATAGCGGGTCATCACCCTCCCTGCCTTACTGCAAATTTTTCTTGTCTGTGTATACAATAGATATTGTAGAAGTCCGTGCGGAGGCTGGGAGCCCCGTTTGGCTCGGGGGAGGGGGAGGAAAGAGGGGTGGACATCAATGGTACATCCAGTTTACTTATGTTCAATATCTCTCTCCGCTTACTCTGTGAACCATTGCAGAAGTCCAGGCAGAGACCCCCCGTTCCACCGGGCAGCTGGACACCAGTAAGACGTGAACTATGAATTGTCCTGATACTTTTCAAATTTCAATGATTTTACCAAGCATACTGGTTGGCAGATAGTGAGGGTAAAAGGTGAGCTCTCCGTATGTTCATATTCCGGATTGTACGAGTTTAATATTGATGTCTGAGTTATCAGCCGTCCAGCTGCGTAGCGGTTTATCACCCCGTTGTACAATAAAATGACAAAATAAGACCGTACAGGCGGGAGCTCCGTTCGACTCGGGGGCCGGACAATAATGGAGTATACTCTTCAAAACTTTTGTTTTGATTAAATATGTACGTTTCCCATCACTTACCGCACCCGTTTGCTTGGAGCCTGTACTTATCCATAACATGGGAATGGTATGACGCATATTTGCATTAGGTATCCGCGACGTCCAGGTTGACGCGGGAGCCAGCTTGGGTCAAACCACTATAGTAAGGAATCGATTGTTTTTTTATCACTGAGGCATCAGGTTCTTACCATGATAAACGTATAGGTGATCTTAAATATCATATTATTCTAAGGCAAGTGGATCTGTTCTCATATCACACAAGTAGGGCCGGATGATGTCCAAAGTTGTATAATCAGTGAGGTTCATATATCGATGATCGACGTGAACGACCCTTGGCTATCGAGGCTATCACGTACACGGCGCTTAACTTTCGGGCCTGCCGAGCTTCTTGTTCGATATCTTCCTATAACTGTATTCGCTTGAGCTTGGGTTACAACTGTACTGAAATCCTGAGCAAAACCATAGATGGAATAAATAATTTTAGCTATCTGTAAATTCCACTTTAAGTACAGTCGCTAATGTAGTAAGTAAGTGTCACAAGATAGAGATATATCTATGTAGACTTGAATGTATGCATAAACGACTCATTGGTGTTGTCAGATGAAGTACCAAAACAGTGATACGAACTTTGAAAAGCCGGTGTGCTAACAAGGGGCGACGATCAAAAGTTGTAAAAGATGTATCAGTGTATCAGATGATTTAAAAGTCCCCCAAGCCAGATGAATGCACGTCTTCTTCTCACCGAGTTGATTTAGGGCCCTTGGTATTCTTCGTGTTCTTATCCTCCTTTGTGGTAGCCTGGGCGGGCGAATCAGGTTTGCCTTTGAGTCCTCCTGTCTTCCTCGGGGTGAAGGTGGAACGCATTCTTCCAATCCAACCGGCTTTTTTGTCCTTATCCTTTTGGTCCTTATCCTTCTTGAGTTCAGTAGCCTGGGCGGGTGAATCAGGCTGGCCTCTCAGTCCTCCTGTCTTCCTAGTGGTGAACGGCGCAATCCAACCGGCGCTTTTGAGAATCTTTCGTCGCATCGGTCTGTGAAGTTTACCTCAGTAAACCCAGTCATTGTAGAAAGACGATAACATACCTCGACTTTTGAACTGGACGCCCGATGTCTGGCGAAAGCTGATCCCGTGTTGTATTACTGATGGGCAGGAGTAGTGATCAGTACAACGAGGGAAGTGACCCCATGAAACGAACTCACTTCGCGAGCGTTTGGGGCAAATTCTTCAAATTCCTGGTAGGAGCTCTGTTTGGTGACATCTGAGCAAGCACAAGACCTTTGGATGACTTATTGGATTATTGGAATGGTATAGGCCGACCTTAAATACGACCATAACACCTGCTCACTGCCAGAGCGGCATTGCTGAAACGACGATTCGCACAGGATGCGTTTGTGATTTGGCACGATATATCGATGGGTGCGAAACTATCAGTGTTTGAAGGCAAGGATCTTCAGAGGTCGTCGCAGACTTATTCCTGTAGCACCCAATCGTTATCTATCATTATGACTTTTGTGGAGTGAAATCTGCGCCCCCGACTCCCGAAACCAGATATTTATGAAACGCTATTAGGATTGATGGTGTAATGATGATTGTCATGGAAGATATCACCTGGCACACACGTACCTTCAACAACATCTGATGTCGCGATACAACACTAGAATCTGTCCGCTCGACTAGACATTGCGAATAAGTTGAGGAAGGACGACTGGAAGCGTCGAAATGTTGATGTCATGATCCTTCAAGTGGTTTTTTCTTCTGATTTTAATCACCACTTTAGGACGACTGACGGACAGCCTTTAAGACCCTCACTCACTAGATGTTTGGCAAAGGAACTTTGGACCGCCCTATAGAAGATAGGCGCCTTGTTCAACCTTGAAAATGTAGGTGTTTCATCCCCAGAATTGTCCGAAGGGAGAAGTCCCTCCGAGTCAGATCCCTTGAAAATGTAGGTGTTTCGTCCCCAGAATTGTCCGCAGTGACAAGTCCATGAGAGTCAGATCCTATCATGTTTTAAACTTCTCAGGATGATGGAGGCTTGACTTTGTAGAGACTAAGAGAATGATATGATGGCAGTTGCGGTGCATTATATTCTGATAAATAGGTTCACTGCACTGCATATCAGTAAATCATATGGCAAGGCAAGGACTATACAATCCAGAGAACGATTTCATTGCCCTCCGGGGAGATTGAATGAAATATCAGAATGGTGACGATCTCACATCGCGGCTATTGCGTACGACCAGTGTTTGATGATACGTGGAACGCCAACGCCGTTATGCTCAGTGATTACAGCGATTACAACTTGCGCCCAAGTGCATGCCTTACCGGCACCTCCGGTTTTCTGTTAATTGGAAAGCTTGGAAATTTAAGTAAGGTTCGCAGCATGACAAAGTGAGTACCTAGATTCCATAGGGTCACTTCGAAACATCGGAGACTCATGTTGGTCAAAATGATATTTTAGCCCTTTCACCCTGCTTTTTACATTCAATACCTGGATGTAAGCTATTTGGTGTCCTTCTGTAGTGTACCGACCTTAGCTCAGTTGGTAGAGCGTGAGACTGTAATAGGTTTACTAGCACTTGTATCTCAATGTCGCCTGTTCGATCCAGGCAGGTCGGATCCCTTTGCTTTTCTCTTCTTCCTTGGCCTGTTTCACTTTTTAGGAGCTACTTATTGGCTGAGAGGTCAAATGAATGGACATCATATAAGGTGATGATGAGTTTGAATGGCGACTTATGTACCGTACATGGACACTTGCGTCCCGAGCTCGGTAAACTCCGGGTCTTCATCTTCATTTTCAATGCTAGCACCTTGGCCAACAAAAGCCCCCACACCGGACTGCTCCCGCTCCCAATGCAAGTCGTGTATTCCTTTCAACTCTATGCGCTTACTGTACTAATCACGTTGACCCATTGACGCAGGGTTCCTTTTCACTCTCCGGATGCTCATGAATCAGGGAGCCCACCTGTGCCAAGAGCAATACAAGTGGCAGAGGTCGAAGTTCACATCAGGAAATTTCACAAGCGGAATTCATGTACAGCCCTCGGTTCATCCCTAAACTCTTCGCCTTGCTCTACTTCCAGCTCTTATGTTCGTCTGCTCCCAGGCTGGCGCTACCGAGAATGAGGTCACTGGCCCAAATCTCAGGCCCGATTGGTCAAGCTGTGCGAATTTATGAAGTGCCGGACTGTCAATGCCTCTCCTTATACAAACGATCTTGGAACTCGATATTATGACTGGACAACACAGGAAGAAGCTTCGTAGCACTTACTTGTGCGCGCGGGTATGGGTACGATTGGGGCTCTGGGTGCCCACACGCACCCGTGGTGTACCTTATGGACTACCATTAAGGATAGGATGATAAGCCACACACACTGAACGGCTAAACCATCAACGATCCAATAGGCCTTTGCGGCGATACGATGTCATGATACGCTTCACAATAATGCGGGTCCGCACTGGAAGTGTACATAGCGAAGCTGGTGCAAGATCGGCAGATCTATAAAGCACAAAGGGATCAAGAGCTAGGTACGCTACCGTGGGTACCCATCGAATCCAAATAGCTACCTATTCTACCCGACGATCCTGTACCTATCAGAGCACCTGTGCTCATAGCACTCACTTTGTACCCAGCCTTATCTAAATCTCGTGTATGAGCAATGTTTTCATGCATCTGTTGCGATGGACACCGGTACACGTGGGTATCTATGTGACAGTATCAGGCGATGAGCGTGCATCGACAAAATTCCGGCGTTTTTGCACCCTTGTTGATTGACACTTATACCTCTGTCGTATCATATTCTCTGAGACGTTTCATATCTGAAAAATCATGCCAGTCAATGCTATGTTCAACAAAGCAAGATTTCTCAGCCGCATTAACTACTGTTCGTTGATAGAGGCTGTCCCCACTATCGATTCCAGAAGTGCAAGGATTCTGCTACCTTTGAATGTATAGCCTCCACCCTCCTTACGGACTCTGTAACACTATCATATTGGATATAAAGACCCGCCAGACGCATGTAAATAATCACCCTTCCTCCAACAAGCCATGTTCGATGATAACACGTCAAAATTAACCTCTCTTAAGCTAAAAGAAAATCTTCCCACTGGGGATACCCAGCCTTTCAAGTGAGCTCTCGGATACTTAAATGACGTCGTGTAATTCATACTAACCCACTTCGTTAGAAATACAGTCACTGATGCACGCAAGCGTATCCTGCCCCAGGAGAAGTACATTTGTACTCTTGTGGCTCTTAACTGCGTTACTAATGTAAAACAGGCCAAGCCATGAAAAACTTCCTAGCAATGCTGATCGCGGTAAAAAGCGCCCTGTAATCAAGTATTTGCCGAAAATACACCTTCCGCTTTGTAATGGAGGAAAGGGAGGGAAGCCTGATGAACCTGCAGCACCTACTCCAAAGCAGCCGAATGGGGGAGGCACCAGTGCCCCGAACGTGAAAGGCCCTAAAATAACTCAGCGGAGTTGACCAAAGTAAGTGCATTGATCTGGAGACTTGTACCTGAGGCACCTTAGTCCTGATGGTTTCCCCCCAGGGCTTGAAGTATTGCATATTTACAGCGTATCGGTGGCTTCAATGGCTCCATCAGGTTTGCCTCAGTCAATTCAAGTGACCTCCACACCGCTCATGTGTAGCGCAAGCATGACTACGACACGTGGCTCATGTGTAGCGCGAGCATGACTACGTCATTCTACGGCACCACCGTCTATTCTTTATTCTTCTTTCCCAAACGCATTGCGTTTCATTCTGAGCTATATCAAGAGCCTAGTTAGAATATTTTAGGCTAGTTCTTGCAATAACAGGAAATGCACTAGGGTCTTATCTATGAGATTCTCCAATGTGACTGCCATCCTTACTTTGTCCTGTTAGGTCTTTGATTTTGATTTGTAAGGGTTTGCAATGGAGCAACTAAAATTGTTAGATAATTGGGGCTTTTCGACTCATCTGCCTTATCATGACAATTTTAATTTTGGCCCTTTGAGTCCCTTTAACCAAGATGCAAGTATACTATAATTTTGATTCCATTTTATTCAGAAAAACAGTTATCAGTATTCTATGATTTTGAACCTGATTCATTTAACACGTCACATGAAAAGTGGTGATCATGCTCTGATGATTCCTTTCCAATACTCCATGTAATTATAGTCTTGGCCACCCAGCCTCTTTACAGTCTCCTTCCCAATTTGGGCCCCTCCCCATGAGAATTAGGGAAATTCCCAGCACCCTTTGAGGAGACCTTGCATTCAACATCTCCTTGGTGCTTATTAAGTCTAGTTGCCCTCTTCTATCATTGTCATGTCATACCCATTGTCAACTGTGACTTTCACTTTGTGTACATGCCCTGCTTGTTCTCATATACCATTTGATGCTATATTTCTGTTTTAAATGCCTTGGGATCATGTTCCCTGTTCCCTTGGTCATGTCACGGAATGTTCCATTCCCCCCCTGTCCTGTTCTCCCTCCTGATGGTTTTCCTTCATTCTCCTTTGTTTTCCCTATTTGCTGGTCCCAGTTCTAGACCTCAGGCCGCACTGGTTCTCTGTCTGTAATTCCAACAAGTGTTGCCCCTTCCACATGGCCTCTCACCAGACCCCTGGATTGTTTCCTGCATTCCAGGCCTACCACTCATCATAGGCCTCTCATCTTTGAATCACAAGTATTTTTGACTAAGGTCTATCTTTTGATCATATCTATATGTAGTCACCTGCTGGGAGTCCAGAGATTGAGGCCATTTACATTGGATTTCCATTTCTTGATTGGACTCCAGATTTGGTCATTGTTGGGTGTTTCTTCCAGAAGCTCTAGAGTAAATTTTCCAAACACTGGCATTGGGGATTCTTAGACTTGTTCTCTTAGGATCTCCCTCTGCCAGGTGAGTAGCTAGGACTCTAGAACTTCTTGTAGATGCTGAATAGACTTTGTATCTCCTTCTGCCAGTTGTGTGATTGAGCCACAGCCTCCAGAGGTCACCCTTACAGCAGAACAAGTCTCTAGATTTGGTCTGGGAGCCCCCTTTTTGATTGCCTGAGTTTCTACTTGGTTGTTCAAAAGGTCTCTCCTCCACCAGTGTCTTAGTGCCCCTGAGCTCCTCCTATGACCCAACCAACCCCTCCAACACCTCCCCCTGATGCTTCAAGCCCCCAGGACAATGCCTGGAGTTGTTTATTGTCCCTAGAGACACAGGTTCAACTTACCCAAGCCTCCCTTACCTTCCACAGAACTTACCAGGCTGTTTCAAACCACTGAAGCAGTGTCCCTTTCCCTCCAGGCCCTCCTGAAATGTTTCCCCCTTGCTCCTACTCCTCCCCCTGGACTCCCAGCAGCTGCAGGAAGGTTCTCTTCTGCACTTAGCTCAGAGATTTCAGCACCCTGCTCCAAACTTCCTTGCCCTGCACTCCCTGACATATTTGATGGGGACCATAGAGTTGGGGAACATTTCCTCCAGTCTTGCATCACCTATATCCAGTTGAGTGGCAAAGCCTTTGCCTCTGACACCTTGAAAATTGCCTGGGTTCTCTCCTACATGAAGGCAGGCCAAGCTTTGACCTATGCACTGCACATTCTTTTATGCCCAGGAGGAGTTGAGAGTTTTTCTGGCTGGATGGAGTTTGAGAAGAAGTCCTGAGCTGAGTTCTTTCCCCTTGACCCTGCCAAGACTGCAGCTCTTTCCTTCCAAGACCAAACTCAGTATGGTTAAGGGAAGCAGTCACTTGACAAGTACATCAACTCTTTTTGTGCCTTAGTCAAACAGGCTGGCTATCCAGACAGCCTGCAACTCTGTCTCACCTTTCCTGATAAACTCCACCCCTTTCTCATGGATCATATCAACAGTATGACTGAGGAGTGCCCAGATGATGAGCATGTTGATACCTAATACAAGCTGGCACATGAGCAGTGGCAGTTGATGGAACTGCAATGTGAGCTGCAGCAGATGCAATCCTCAATGTTTCCCTTTCCTTGTGGTAGGTGCACCTCCCAAGTTACCCCTTCTGTCATGACCCATTCCCTGAAGCCCTGTACACTGCCTGACAAACCCCCGCTCCCCCAGAAACCCCCCCTGACGCTTTGTCGAACTTCCCCAGCACTCCGCACCTACTCTGGCTAACTCCGGCACATTCTCGGCTAACTCTGATGGCCCCCTGGCCAACTCCGACATCTTCCCCGCAGCTGCCAGTGCTTCCCCTGGACTTCCTGAGCCCCTGGGACCACTCCCCTGCCATGCCTGACCCCATTACACATCATCAACTCGACACCTTGGCTTCCCCGACTTACCCTGGAGTATCACGACAGCCTTGGAACGGACTGCGTCACAATTGATCCCATCAACATATCAACGCAGCCCACCCTCTGATCATAACCAACACCCATCGACTCCGTCGAGCTCTGCCAAGCCCTGCCACCACAGCTGACGTCCCCGGAGCTCTTCAGTAGTCAGTATATAAGACATAGAGTAGCTCCTTGTACTCTAGTCTTGAGATTATCTACCTACCTTACCTGATGTGTTTCTGATCGTTTCTTCTCATGTTTTGTGTCCCGTGTCTCGTTTTCCTTACTCTCAGTCTCCCGGTCTTATCTTGTTTCTGTTCCATTATCCTTTCG